TGATCTGGTTCAATTATGTTCTTATCAATTATGTGAAATTAAAGATGAAAACGTAAATTGGTAAATGCGGTTAAAAGATGATAAAATTTAAACAAATAAATATGTTTGCTCGATGTATTGAGAATTGAAAAATTGGATTAGTATAACATCAAAAGTCGTAGATTTCAATAGAATATCAAGTATACACCATACAATACTCTTTAATTAAATTGAATACCAGGAAGAAATTAAAATTTTATAAAAAAATGTATTGTGCCCTTGTTTGAGCCTCATTTTTTGGAAAAATTGCATTCTTCAATAGTGTTTTAATCCTATTCAACCGCACATTTTTCAATAGAATAATATTACATGCAAACAAAAAAAAAATCTTATATTTTAACCACACAGTTCCCATCAATAGACAATTCAAAAAAGCATTTTTTTTGAGACAAAAATTGGGCTCCAACAAGTCCTAAGCTCTTGTTCGGTAAATCTATCTTTTAGATCTTAAGCTGGTTAAACTTAATTTTCAATCATATATTCTAATAAATACAGAAGTAGTATTCACTTTTTAACTATACACAACAACTTAAAATCTCCAAAAGTTTAAGCAAATTTCCAAGAGTTCAAAAAAAAAAAAAAGATACTGATTTACAAAAAAAAAAAAAAAAAATATGGGCTAATTGATAAAGACTTATACAAATCTCAATGTTTTATATAAAATAATCGAAAGTCGTAAACAAAACCCCATGACCTTAACTTTGGTGTTAAAAAAAATGCACTGAACGACTAGTGACTAAACTATTAATAATATCAAAATGCAAGAACATTAAAATACTGTAGATTGGGGATTTTACCGTGTTTAAAATTGTGTTATATAATTTGTGAGTCGTTGAAATTATAGCCATGCTCGTTGTTGGATACAATAAGGCCATTCTTAAATATTTTGGATCACTTAAACGACGGTGATTGAATACCAAAAAAAATTTGGCCTATCCTCATTGAATACCAATTAATTCCCAGATGATATGGTTCAAACTTGACCCGACGAGTGATATCAGATCCAAGGTCATAAGTTCTAATCACAAGGTCATTATGTTGATGGAAGTATTGTTGGGGTGCAACAAGACCACTCTTAATCTCATCGGTAAATGATGAAGATTGAATGTCATATTGGACACTGATTGATTATTAGATACTGAAATTCGACCATACACTCAGAAATGGTTCATACCCTAATAAAACTAGTGAACTTTATATGTTATAAATACTGAAATCATTTTTTACCATGAAAATTTTAGCAAGCTCTGTGTCTTATAAAATCCCATTTTTTTCATAATTAGTGCTTGTTTAGGTTTATGTATAAGTTGATAAATTAATGCGATGGAAATGGGTGATAAATACGTGGGTGATAGTTGTAGGTACTACAAAATGTAGGTGATGCTAGCGGTACATCGGGGAGTACCTATTATTCAAGCGGGCCCCACCTCCCATGTGAGGGGGGTGTAACCCTTTAGGTTCACCACTTGATGTACAAGTGGAATTACCCAAAGCAAAATAAAAGGGACCTCGTACACTATACTAATGAAATGAAACCATACTAAGCCCCTCTTTGGTTTGAATTAAAATTCAATTAAAATCTCAAGTCCAAATCAATAATTAATTTTAACCACACATTTGTGTGATCCACAACTTTTTAATACCACATTTCATCAATTTCTATCAAAATTTACTAAAAATCTGATTTTAATCTCTACCAAACAGGGACAAAATGAATGGCCCAAAGGAGTGGTGGAGTCAGGATTTTAAGCGGTGACAAAAACGTTAAGGGGCAAAAATATGTGTTATGTTATAAAATTCAAAATTTCTACATAGAATTTAAAAATGTTGTGAGAGGTTGCCAATCTCGGCTCCTCTAGGTTCGCCTCTGTCCTAAAGTAGAGAGAGTTATTTTGACAACCGCGTGATTCTAGGTAGGAGGAATTTTAAAGAAAGCAATTTACTTGAGCCACCATGGGAGGAATTTCAGTATATTTTCAGCAACAGGAATATCATAGACAAGCTGACAAAGCATCCCATTATCAGACTTCCTAATATCACCTAAATCTTCGAGTTTACAATCCGCTTCGGCCGCCACAAACACTATCCCTCCGGCCGTGCAATCCACCGCATGTTTCTTGTCCAGACTGATCGTCAGCCTCCCTGCAAGCGGGTAGAAATGCACA